CATGTCTGCACCCTACTCCCTACGTTCTATTAGAACGTGATCATGTCTGCACCCTACTCGCTACGTTCTATTAGAACGTGATCATGCCTGCACCCTACTCCCTACGTTCTATTAAACATGATCATGCCTGCACCCTACTCCTACGTTCTATTAAACGTGATCATGCCTGCACCCTACTCCCTACGTTCATTAGCATGATCATGCCTGCACCCTACTCCCTGCATTCTATTAGAACGTGATCATGCCTGCACCCTACTCCCTACGTTCTATTAAACATGATCATGCCTGCACCCTACTCCCTGCATTCTATTAGAACGTGATCATGCCTGCACCCTACTCCCTACGTTCTATTAGAACGTGATCATGTCTGCACCCTACTCGCTACGTTCTATTAGAACGTGATCATGCCTGCACCCTACTCCCTACGTTCTATTAGAACGTGATCATGCCTGCACCCTACTCCCTGCATTCTATTAGAACGTGATCATGCCTGCACCCTACTCCCTGCGTTCTATTAGAATGTGATCATGTCTGCACCCTACTCCCTGCGTTCTATTAAACGTGATCATGCCTGCACCCTACTCCCTGCGTTCTATTAGAACGTGATCATGCCTGCACTCTACTCCCTGCGTTCTATTAGAACATGATCATGCCTGCACCCTACTCCCTACATTCTATTAAAAGTGATCATGCCTGCACCCTACTCCCTACGTTCTATTAGAACGTGATCATGCCTGCACCCTACTCCCTACGTTCTATTAAATTGTGATCATGCCTGCACCCTACTCCCTGCGTTCTATTAAAAGTGATCATGCCTGCACCCTACTCCCTACGTTCCATTTAAGTGATCATGCCTGCACCCTACTCCCTACGTTCTATTAAATTGTGATCATGCCTGCACCCTACTCCCTACGTTCTATTAAATTGTGATCATGCCTGCACCCTACTCCCTACGTTCTATTAAAAGTGATCATGCCTGCACCCTACTCCCTACGTTCCATTTAAGTGATCATGCCTGCACCCTACTCCCTACGTTCTATTAAATTGTGATCATGCCTGCACCCTACTCCCTACATTCTATTAAAAGTGATCATGCCTGCACCCTACTCCCTACGTTCTATTAGAACGTGATCATGCCTGCACCCTACTCCCTACGTTCTATTAAATTGTGATCATGCCTGCACCCTACTCCCTACGTTCTATTAAAAGTGATCATGCCTGCACCCTACTCCCTACGTTCCATTTAAGTGATCATGCCTGCACCCTACTCCCTACGTTCCATTAAACATGATCATGTCTGCACCCTACTCCCTACGTTCTATTAGAACATGATCATGCCTGCACCCTACTCCCTACGTTCTATTAGAACGTGATCATGCCTGCACCCTACTCCCTACGTTCTATTAAATTGTGATTATGCCTGCACCCTACTCCCTACGTTCCATTAAACATGATCATGCCTGCACCCTACTCCCTACGTTCCATTACACATGATCATGCCTGCACCCTACTCCCTACGTTCCATTAAACATGATCATGCCTGCACCCTACTCCCTACGTTCTATTAAAAGTGATCATGCCTGCACCCTACTCCCTTCGTTCTATTAGAACGTGATCATGCCTGCACCCTACTCCCTACGTTCTATTAGAACGTGATCATGCCTGCACCCTACTCCCTACGTTCCATTAAATTGTGATCATGCCTGCACCCTACTCCCTACGTTCTATTAAACATGATCATGTCTGCACCCTACTCCCTACGTTCTATTAAACATGATCATGTCTGCACCCTACTCCCTACATTCTATTAAACTTGATCATGTCTGCACCCTACTCCCTACGTTCTATTAGAACGTGATCATGTCTGCACCCTACTCCCTACGTTCTATTAGAACGTGATCATGCCTGCACCCTACTCCCTACGTTCTATTAGAACGTGATCATGTCTGCACCCTACTCCCTATGTTCTATTAGAACGTGATCATGCCTGCACCCTACTCCCTACGTTCTATTAGAACGTGATCATGCCTGCACCCTACTCCCTACGTTCTATTAGAACATGATCATGTCTGCACCCTACTCCCTACGTTCTATTAAATTGTGATCATGCCTGCACCCTACTCCCTACGTTCTATTAAATTGTGATCATGCCTGCACCCTACTCCCTGCGTTCTATTAAACGTGATCATGTCTGCACCCTACTCCCTACGTTCTATTAAACATGATCATGCCTGCACCCTACTCCCTACGTTCTATTAGAACGTGATCATGCCTACACCCTACTCCCTGCGTTCTATTAGAACGTGATCATGCCTGCACCCTACTCCCTGCGTTCTATTAGAACGTGATCATGTCTGCACCCTACTCCCTGCGTTCTATTAAACGTGATCATGCCTGCACCCTACTCCCTGCGTTCTATTAGAACGTGATCATGCCTGCACCCTACTCCCTGCGTTCTATTAGAACGTGATCATGTCTGCACCCTACTCCCTACGTTCCATTAAACATGATCATGCCTGCACCCTACTCCCTACGTTCTATTAGAACATGATCATGCCTGCACCCTACTCCCTGCGTTCTATTAGAACGTGATCATGCCTGCACCCTACTCCCTGCGTTCTATTAGAACGTGATCATGCCTGCACCCTACTCCCTGCGTTCTATTAGAACGTGATCATGCCTGCACCCTACTCCCTACGTTCCATTAGAACGTGATCATGCCTGCACCCTACTCCCTGCGTTCTATTAGAACGTGATCATGCCTGCACCCTACTCCCTACGTTCCATTAAACATGATCATGCCTGCACCCTACTCCCTACGTTTTATTAAAAGTGATCATGTCTGCACCCTACTCCCTACGTTCCATTAAACATGATCATGCCTGCACCCTACTCCCTACGTTTTATTAAAAGTGATCATTTCTGCACCCTACTCCCTACGTTCTATTAGAACGTGATCATGCCTGCACCCTACTCCCTGCGTTCTATTAGAACGTGATCATGCCTGCACCCTACTCCCTGCGTTCTATTAGAACGTGATCATGCCTGCACCCTACTCCCTGCGTTCTATTAAACGTGATCATGCCTGCACCCTACTCCCTACGTTCTATTAGAACGTGATCATGCCTGCACCCTACTCCCTGCGTTCTATTAGAACGTGATCATGCCTGCACCCTACTCCCTGCGTTCTATTAAACGTGATCATGCCTGCACCCTACTCCCTGCGTTCTATTAGAACGTGATCATGCCTGCACCCTACTCCCTGCGTTCTATTAGAACGTGATCATGCCTGCACCCTACTCCCTACGTTCCATTAAACGTGATCATGCCTGCACCCTACTCCCTACGTTCTATTAGAACGTGATCATGCCTGCACCCTACTCCCTACGTTCTATTAAACGTGATCATGCCTGCACCCTACTCCCTACGTTCTATTAGAACGTGATCATGCCTGCACCCTACTCCCTACGTTCTATTAAACGTGATCATGCCTGCACCCTACTCCCTACGTTCTATTAAACGTGATCATGCCTGCACCCTACTCCCTACGTTCTATTAAATTGTGATCATGCCTGCACCCTACTCCCTACGTTCTATTAGAACGTGATCATGCCTGCACCCTACTCCCTACGTTCTATTAAATCGTGATCATGCCTGCACCCTACTCCCTACGTTCCATTAAACGTGATCATGTCTGCACCCTACTCCCTACGTTCTATTAAACGTGATCATGCCTGCACCCTACTCCCTATGTTCCATTAAATCGTGATCATGTCTGCACCCTACACGTTCCATTTAAGTGATCATGCCTGCACCCTACTCCCTACGTTCCATTAAACATGATCATGCCTGCACCCTACTCCCTACGTTCCATTAAACGTGATCATGCCTGCACCCTACTCCCTACGTTCCATTTAAGTGATCATGCCTGCACCCTACTCCCTATCGTTCTATTAAATCGTGATCATGCCTGCACCCTACTCCCTACGTTCTATTAAATTGTGATCATGTCTGCACCCTACTCCCAACGTGCTATTAAATTGTGATCATGCCTGCACCCTACTCCCTGCGTTCTATTAAACATGATCATGCCTGCACCCTACTCCCAACGTGCTATTAAATTGTGATCATGCCTGCACCCTACTCCCTACGTTCTATTAAACATGATCATGCCTGCACCCTACTCCCTACGTTCCATTAAACATGATCATGCCTGCACCCTACTCCCTGCGTTCCATTAAACATGATCATGCCTGCACCCTACTCCCAACGTGCTATTAAATTGTGATCATGCCTGCACCCTACTCCCTGCGTTCTATTAAACATGATCATGCCTGCACCCTACTCCCTACGTTCCATTAAACATGATCATGCCTGCACCCTACTCCCTATCTTCTATTAAATCGTGATCATGCCTGCACCCTACTCCCTACGTTCCATTAAACATGATCATGCCTGCACCCTACTCCCTACGTTCTATTAAATTGTGATCATGCCTGCACCCTACTCCCTACGTTCCATTAAACATGATCATGCCTGCACCCTACTCCCTACGTTCTAGTGAATTGTGATCATGCCTGCTCCCTACTCCCTCCCTACCAGCACCTTTAATGATGTTTCGGCATTTGACCCATTACCTTTATGTAAATCTTCACTAACCAAGCAAAAACAAGCAGAATGCATATACTATAGTCTACAAACATATAACTGTGCCTAATGACTTATCTATTCTGTGTAGGGCACTAATATGTATATTTAAGTGTTCAAAATATTCAAAACAGTACCTCATTTTTTCTGTGCACAAAATTTCACAAAATCAAACCTGAACATGTTCAGAGCAACCAAATTAAAACTGTAAATAAAGATATATTCAGCCTGGTTGGTTGATCACTTCAGGCTTCCAGACGCATTTGTGTATCACACTGATGTGTGTGTTCTCCGTGCTGTGTGTGGAGTATCTAGAACTACAGAAGGATAAATTATCAGACTCAGTCGTCTAAGAAAATCTCCAAACTCTTGTTTTTTATTAGTTTCATTCCTTTTCGACTCCTGTGGTGCGCGTGAAGCGCCGAGATGCTGTTTTGTACACTTTTAAAGATCACCAGCCGTTTGCGGGCAGCACACGGTCAGAGAGGAACAATTTACGGTTCTACACTTCTAGAATTTCACTGTTTTTATTGTTGCTGGAGGCTCCAATAATACATGAATCTTAAGCTTTACAAAAACAAAAACAGACCAAAAAAACAAAAAAAACAAAAAACAAAACACGTAATATAACCACCCCCAAACAAAAATAACAGAGTGCAAAGCTGAGAGAGAGAGAGGCTGAAACTGAGAAGAGAAAGACAGAGAGAGAGAGAGAGAGAGAGAGAGAGAAAAGAGAAGAGAGAAAGAGAAGAGAGGCAGAGGGAAAAAGAAGGGAGATTTATCTCTAACCGTCAGAATATAATATAATACTACTCAGTGAGAGAGTGAGAGAGACGGGGGGGGGGAGAAAGAGAGAGAGTGAATGTTTTAAAGAGGGAAAAGAATGAGACGCCTCGTAACGTGCATCAATACAAAATAAAACAAAAACAAAAACAAAACAAAAAGCAAATGCATTTTCTCCTTTTTTGTCGTTTGTTTTCCTCAGGCGGGACCGGACAGACGCCGCAGCTCAGCGGTGACGAGAGACGACAAAACTAGAACAAATTAAACATGAGGTGAGGGGGAGCGTGAGAGAGAGAGAGAGAGAGAGCGAGAGAGAGAGAGAGAAGCGAGGGATGATGAGGGAGGGCGTCTCTAGCTTTGCTGTTTGCGTTTGTTTAGCGCTCCGATCAGGTCGGTCCGCAGAGCCTCCTGCTTGGACTTATCAGCCAGCGTCTGAACACTCCTGCAAAAAAACAGAGAAGGAGGGATTAGAGGAAGACAAGTGAATACAGAGGAGGGGGTTGAGGTTAGGGTTAATGCAGTGAGGAGCACACGGACACCGGATACCGGCCGTCTCTCTCTCTGACCGTGCAGCTGAAACTAGAAACAAATACAAAACAACACCAGAAAGAACCAAAGGCCTGTTTGTTGTTCCAATCAGCAGTGATCAAACCTGCACCCTCCACTCGATTCTGCACCATCATTCTGCCTTCACTAAAAAGTTCTCACTACACTCAAAGACTGTTCTTCAAGGGTCCTTCAGTAAAGACGGTGCTTCTACATAGAACCATAAACAATCGAAGAAACATTTGCATGGTGAAATGGTTCCTCACACTGATTGAATGTGTTGTATATGGTTGTGCACAGAACCAAAAAGGGTTCTGCTATTATTACAAGACTGGCATCGCAATAATAGCAGAACCCTTTTCAAAAAGGTTCTACATAGAATGATAACATCATGAGAACAGCAGAAACTGCCTGTCCCAAAAACATGTACAGTCGTAATGAGTGCTTGCATACTTCCTACAAACTCAAAAATGCACAGTAGGGGGCGATAAACTGGTTGAAATTCTTTTTAAGGTTTAACATGCTGGTTCCCTCTCCTCTTGTGTAGTGGCAGCAGTCTGAGGTCAGTCAGTCCAGTTTATGGTCAAAGGAGTGATATCAGACTGTAATGAGTTAATGGGGAAGAGAGAGCGGAAGGAACAGCCAGTCTCTTAGGGTTAGCCGTTAGCCATTAGCCTAGCATGGAGACTATATAATAATAACAACTGCTACACCACTGAGGAAGCCTCCACTGTGAAAACTCAAAGCACAGCTACTAATGAGTTCTCAGTGTGCTATCTAGAACATCCAGTCAGCTCAGAGAACTGCGCAGTATGTAAACATGTTTACATGCACATGCACAAAATGAAGCTGGCGCTTTCCTGCTGCAGCCTCTGTGGAATCCAGTCCAGCACAGTATCTGGGCGTGATGCTCTCTCCTCTTAGGAGCTCATCATTTTAAACAGGACAGTGATGGTCTGGACTCTCAGTCAGGGTTTAGTTACAGCTCTGACTAGTGCAGATTGGAAAGCAATGAATTGACAGTAGCCACGTTTACATGCAGCCTGATAATCCGTTAATAATCGACTAATAGCTCAATCTGAATAAAATATGTCCATGTAAACACCTCGATCTGAATAGTCTACAGTTTCTATCCAACTGATCGAGGTGGGTGATCCTGTAAATAATCCGTTAAATAGAAGAATAATATCCGTGTAAACGCCTGTATCTGATTACATTCCCTATCGGAAAGTTTAAGTCCGTTCTGATCATGTTCGTCACATCATAGTGAAAGTTTATAGCATTCAACATGGCGGACCAGAAACTGGTCTGTAGAGGAGACAAAGTTTATGCTCTGATCTTTAAAAGACGGCGGTGGGACGGACTGAATGGGTCTGATGCAGCTGGTAAATATTATCTATAATTTTAAATACTGTTGGTTCTGTTCAGGTCTACTGATTCTTAGAGCGACAGATTGGATGCAGACTGGTTCAAAGGGAGAGGACTGTAGGTGTGACTGGCTCACGGGTCAGGTAGGAGGACCCCTTTGTAGAACTTTGCTTAGCGCCCCAAGGGAACTGAGAACCGGCTCTGAATGTAAACATTTACTTTTGTTCACTGTGTCAGAGATTAAGCTGACGAGTGACCTTACTGGTGTACAGTGCTGACCTGTAAAAGCTGAACTACAACAGAAAAAGTCTAGTTAGGACTGAGCAGCGTAAGAAACATTAAACATCGGCAGTGATGCGTAAACTGAGTACATGCTCCAGTTTCTTATTTATAAACTCTCATTCCTTTCACATTAAATTATTCAATGCTTTCTAATGCCTTAAGAGCTCAAGAAAGGAAACAGCATTTCTCAGCACAATGCATACAAAATCAAATAACACACAATGTCAATTATATTCAAATAGACTGGTTCGATATGAAGCTGTACAATATTGACGTAAAACGCGATGTTCGATAAAGCTGTCAGATTTAACGATGACAATATCAGAACTATTATTAAACTAGTGCACCTCTGACTGCATACTATGCAAGTAACGCAGCTACCCCTAACATCGGCCGTCCCCCAACATCGGCCACTTGCGCGTATTGCGCAATTCCTCTCTCTCTCTCTCCGCCAATTGCTCAGGCGAAATTCAAAACACATAAGCTTGCACCTCACAAGGGCATCTAAACTTTATTCTAGCAAAAAATCATGTCTGAAAACAATATTTAAGTATCACTAATAACGTTGTAATTCTGCGTGTACAAAACCGCATGGAACACAACTCATTTTCATTTGGCGATGGATATTCGTCTGTGCAGAAAGTTAGCTTATCGGTTAGCTTTCTCTGCTCTGAGGTAGAAAAAGTTTGCCGCCATCGTAGTGTTACGTATATGGCGTAAGGGTGCCCACAGAGAACAAACTTAGCCTCATTGTGAAGCATTGTAAGGCATTGAATCTGGTAGGAATGATGCGTAAACGCGATTTCTCATTTGACTGGCACAATCAGGCACACAGCAAAGAGCTGAGCTCCATACTTAGTTAAACAAGCAAATCAAGCTGAATAATGAAACAATACAATAACGTCACATTTTACTAATGAATATATACATATATTTTATGTTTTTTACACTTTTATACGCTACATCTTTTTAGGCTGAAAGATGACTTACGGAAAACCGGAAGTGAGGTGGCCGATATTGGACCCCCATCATTCTAGCGATATTAGCGTCAAAGTAAACAAAAACATTATTATTGAAAAAACTGTTTTCTCATCGTGTCAAATGACTCTTGGACATTGATCTACACACATATCTCTCCCGAAAAACATTGATTTGGGTGAGTAAAGTGCTTTCATTTATTTACAGCCTATTATTTTAGCCTAGATTCCCGATGTTTTGTTGTGAGGTGGCCGATAACAGGGGTACTTACGCAGACCTTTTTTTGGATGTGTAAACAGAAATCTTCAAGGGTTCTTTATTAAAGGAAATGGTTGCATATGGAACCATGACCACTCAAAGAACCCTTTGCATGATTAAAGGGTTCTTTGCGTCATGAAATGGTTCTTCAGATTGATGGAGAATATGCTGTAGATGGCTTGCTATAGAACCTTTCTGGAAATCTCCTTATAGAGCACCCAAAAGGGTTCTTCTATTGTTATGATGTCAAGCTTGTAACAACAGAAGGACCCTATTCAAAACGGCTCTGCACATTTTCCATCAATCTTAAGAAAACTTTCACGATGCAAAGAACCGTTTAATCATGCACAGGGTTCTTTGAGTGTTGATGGTTCTATATAGAACCATTTTTTTCATCAAAGAACCCTTGAAGAACCATCTTTTTTGAGGTGTACAAGACGATGTGTTCAGGGCAACCAAATTAAAACTAAATACAGATTTATTCAGCCTGGTTGGTGTGATGTCTTCACTTCAGCCTTCCAGACGTATGTGTGAGTCACACTGATGTGTTCGTTCTCCGTGCTGTGTGTGGAGTATCTAGAACTACAGAAGGATGAGTTATCAGACTCAGTCATCTGAGAAACCTTCAAACTCCTGTGGTGCGCGTGAAGCGCCGAGATGCTGTTTTGTACACTTTTAAAGTGTACACGTTTTTATTGTTGCTGGAGGCTCCAATAATACATGAATCTTAAGCTTTACAAAAACAAACCAAAAATCACAACCACCACCAAACTAATATAACAGTAAGCAAAGCTTCAGCTAAGATGGAGAGACTGAAGTTGACCAGAAAGTAAAGAGGTGGCTCTAAGAAAGGTTTTCAGTAAATAATTTTTTTTTAGACACAGATTCGGCAGCCTCAGCCTGCAACAGCCACACATTCACTTACACACGCAAACCAAAAGATTAATAACTATAATAACACTAATAATACCGGTAATAATAAAGCCCTCTTTACTCTGCTCTTACAGATTACAGCAGCAGTTCTGACTGTGACAGATACGAGGTTTCAGTGATGGAAGTGCATAAATACACAAACAAAATGTAAATAAGCACTTTTTCCTTTTTAGAGTGGTGGATCAGCTAAAGGACACATTAACTTGTAATAATTAACTTGTTTACTGACTTTTCTGCGAGTCCTACTATGCGCTAAAGCTGCGGTTCTCGATAGCTGACACCTGAGACTGTCTGCCGGCGCGGTGCGGGCCATTTCGTCCGGTGCTCAGTAGCCTTCAGATGGCTGCAGTAGTCTTTCTGTGATTCCTTCTTTGGTGTAAACAGATTAGAAACTGGCCAAAACATAAGACGCAGCTCTACGCTGCCCTCTGGTGGAGCACAGAGTTCAGGCTCACGGTTATTAAATAGTGTGATACTGTTAGAGTGAAGCTAATTCTCATAGTTTAACAAAAAATCTAATTTACCATTCAATTTTTAGGATCACCAGGACACCAACTCTTTCCCTGGAGATATAAATTAGCATTACAACTACAACGGTCCTCTCCAGGCTCCGCCCACAAACATTTGTAGCTGCTGGACAAGCTTTACTGAACGCTGGTAAAAATCCCATTAAACCTTATGAGCTGGACTGTGATGCTGTAGCTACTCTAAATAAGGCAGGTTGTAAACAACATCAAATTAGCCACCATGCTAATATCCGCTAAATTACACCACAAAATACTAGACCTGTTTTATCCTAACAGCTTGACCAGCTTTATAATTTGATGATGAATAACTCTCTCTCAACGCAAACTGTCATATAGTGATAATACTACTCAGAGTGAGAGAGAGAGAGAGTGTGGCTGAGTGAGTGAGAGAGGAAGGAAAACGAAGGTGGAGAGAGAAAGAAAGAAGTGAAAGAGGCGTGGCGAATAATATTTTAAGCGAAAAGAAGTCTAAGCATTTTCTTCTTTTTTGCCGCTTGTCTTCCAAGAGAAGACGAAACAGGAAGGGCAAATAAAACATGAGTGAGGGAGAGGGAGAGCGGGAGGAGAGCGAGGGACGAGGACGCCTCTAGCTCTGCTGTTTGCGTCTGTTGACTGCTTTGAATAGTTCACTCTGGAGAGCCTCCTGCTTGGATCTGTCAGCCGTGGCCTGAACAGTCCTGTAAAAAAATTAAAGAGGGAGAAAAACAAAACAAAACAAAAAACCCCAAAATAAAAACAGGAACGATGAGGGAAAGAAAAAAAAGATGATGGGTGAAGCGGATACTCATACACATCTGCTACTTTTCCTCTCTCTGATCAGGGAAAGTAAACAGATCAACACAAATTAGGGCTGCATCAATAAACACTTTGGATTCATTACACAAAAATAAATTCCACAAAATGAAACAAAGGACTCATTTTAGCTCCACTTAAATGTGAATTCCTCTGCTAGACGCTGCTATAAGTAAACTGCACTAATAGATGGTCACTGTGGTGTTCCGGGTGGTTGCCAGTGGACTGATAGGCAGTTGTTACAGTGTTCCGAGTGGTTAACAGATTGTTACCAAGCCTTTGTTTTGGTACCGCAGGCGGTTTTTTAGCATACTGTAGGTGGTGCTATGACACTGCAAGTGGTTGCTAGGGTGTTGCAAGGTGGTCACTATGGTATTTTAGGTGGTTGCTGGCAGTGTAAATGAACAGGCGTCCTCAAAACTGCACAGGGTTTAAACATTACTACGCTACAAAGTGTCCAGATTCTGAGAGTTGGTTTGTTATTTAAAGCAAAGATCGTTTTTAAATCGAAATCGCAGTTTGAAATGAGTGCAATTTTTATATTGCGAGAGCTGCAAATTTTTAAGAGCCTATTTTACCAACAACGCTGTCTTAATTTTTAAGTGGTGAAATTTAACCTAAAAACACAGACCTCTAAATCTACCTATAGATGAGCTAGCAACAAACCATTCATGAGCTTTGACAACCTAACCGCTACGTTCAGTGCTCAAGAAACATTTTTTACATCTGGCCTGATGAATATTCAAATTTGCATAAGGAGAAACAGCCACAGCAGAGTTCACAGCTGCTCAGGAGAGAAGGGTCTGCCTGCAGACTGCAGGACAGGGGCGGAACCTGGAGGGGCAGAACCGCTCTGGAGGCTGACCGATCAGAACAAAGTGGGCGAGCTGACCAATCAGAGCCTACTGGGCTCATCGGGAGGCGGGGCTTAAAGACACATGAGCTCTAACAGAGCGTTTCAGACAGAGGGTGAATAGAGGTGAACATCATCTATGATGACATCCTGAATTTGTTGTTGAATCAGCACCTTCAGATCAGATGCATTAAAATGCATCAATTGTAAAAAATAATTAATTCAGTGCGGCAGCTGTAGCACATTTTTTCTTTTCAATGAAACTCTGCAATGGAAGTTTGTGAAGAGGAGGTATTAAAATTAGATCTGCTTTGCAAAGATAATATGTAAATGTATTAAACAAATACGAGAAACTAAAAGAAAGGGGAAAAAAGTTAACACTCAATCCTGGAACGTCTTTCTTTTTTCATACTCAGTAATGTGTGATGTTCAGTATGTAATGTTTCAGTGTTAGTGCTACAGACATGCATAAAACCTGCACTCTAATTTCTGTTATTGTAGAGGCTCTAGGTGCAGATCTGCTCCAGCCTGCAGTCGCACCGCCGCAGCTTCAGAACACACCCATGCATCCTCACCGTCATGCCAAAACACGGCATGCACACACACACACACACACACACACGCTGAGCCCTATACCTCCAGAACTACTCTATGAAGATCTGACGCTGAGTGAGAACCTGAGAGAGCTCTCTCTGCAACTGCCTGTACTTCTGATTATCAGGGAGAGACTCAATAGATCTGAAAACAGAAACGGAAAAACAGACACAGAGATAAACAGTAAAGAACGCAAAAGAACGACAGAAGAGCAGATGATAAACAGAACAGAGGATAAACCAAATCATGAGAGCAAATGAGCAAAGGAGAAAAAAGAGAATAAAAAAGAGAAATGAAGAGAAGACAAGAAAATAAAAGAAAGGAGTAAAGAGAACAAAATGAGAAGAGAAGAAGAAGAGAGGAAGTGAAAGAGAAAAAGAAGACAAGAGAAAAGAGCAAAAGAAGAGAGAAAAGTGAAAGAGAAGAGAGGAAAAGGGAGAAGAGAAGAAGAGAAGAAAAAAGAAGAGCAGAGCAGAGAAAAGGAGAAAAAAAAGAGGTGATGTGGAGAGAAGAGGAGAAGAGAGGAGAAAAGAAGAGCAGAGAAGAGAGGAGAAAAGAAGAGAAGAGCAAAGATGAGAAGACAAAAGAGCAGAGAATAGAAAAGAAGAGCAGAGCAGCGGAAAGAAGAGGAGAGAAGAAGAGAAATGGAAAGAAGAGGAGAGCACAGAAGAGGAGAGAAGAAGAGAAGCAGAGAGGAAAGGGAAGAAGAGGAAAGAAGGGAGAGAAGAGGAGAGAAGAGGAAAGAAGAGGAGAGAAGAAGAGAGAAGAGGAAAGAAGAGGAAAGAAGAAGAGAGAAGAGGAAAGAAGAGGAGAGAAGAGGAAAGAAGAGAGGAGAAGAGAGGAGGAGAGAGGAGAGGAGAGAAGAGAAGATGCAGATGGACTCTGAGGATGAACAGAGTGAACTGATGGGGGGACGGTTCAGTCCTGAGGGGCTTTTCTGTAAATCTCAGTCACATGAACACAGAGAGAAGAACACACTGAGACTGATCTGATGTGTTATACATGTCTTATATATGTGCCTATATGTATTATATACATCCTATACAGGTTAAACACATCCCATGTGTTATATACGTTCCACATGTATGATATAGCTGTAAGTGATTTCTTCTGAGCCGGTCTGAAAAACAAAATTTAGTCCCAGATTTCTGCTTCACGCGTCCAGCCATCACAGATTTATTCACTCATTAATAGCACAATTCATTTAACATTAATCATGATTATAATTAATTCATGATTATTACTGATTAGCCTAAATAGGTATTGGATGATGATTACAAATAATACTCAGCTGCCATGAGAAGAGGTTTGGAGGATAAACGAACACAATGACTGACATCAAATCACTACTTACTGTATTACTGTTATTTATTTTATTAATATTAGTGTTAACGGATCAGATTAAGAACTTCTCAAAGCAATTTTCACACATGACTAAAACTTGCACATCGCTTTAAGTGTCTGTAACAATAATAATAATAATAACAATAATAACAACAACAACAACAACAATAATAATATCCCATATGTATTATATATTTGCAGGTATCTATGTGTGTGAAGTGTGTGTCTAAATCTAAATGTAATCCTGATCTCAGGAACCAAAAATAAATTATTTTGTGTATAAAAAATGAGATTAGCGCTTTATGCAGTAGACCTTAGTCTTGTTTTTCTCTGTTTACTGCTTTCGGACATTCGGACGCTCACACACACACACGGTTCTCTCACGTACCTCAGGCCATTAACGATGTCCTTGGTCTTGCCGAAGTAGATCTCGTTCAGAGTGGAGCGGATTTTATTCTCCATGTCCTACAAACACACACACAGACACACACACACACACACACACACACACAGACACACACAGACACACACACACACACACACAGTTACGAATGGAAACACTCAGCACTCACAGTAAGGCGTCACATTACATCATCTAATAATCTAATAACGATATATGGAGACTGAGACTGAACAGAGGAGTGAGAGTGTTTTACCTCCACCAGGCGGCCGATGTTGGCGATGTGTGGAGAGGACTCACTAACCGTCTCATCTTTCTCCATCTGAGAGAGAGAGAGAGAGAGAGAGAGAGAGAGAGAGAGAGAGAGAGAGAGAGATTAGTAGTGTTCCACTGATGAAGTAGTTAAACTGCTCTTTGATGTTGGTGGAAAGTAGACATTAAAAACCTTACACACTTTTTCCCCTACACACACACACACACACCACACACACACACACACACACACACACTCTTACTCAGGGGACACTCAGAGACTATGTAAAATGAACTTCCCTGCAGCTAAACACACTGATCAGAGAGACGCAGTGAAAATGAAAGGTGTTTCATACTCAGTCACAGTGACGAAGCTAATAACAGCTTCATGTGCAGAAGGTTTCACACTGTATATGGAGGAGGTGTGAAGTGTGTGAAGTGAGAGGTGACGCAGATGGAAAGTGCAGCTGCTGCTCGTGTGTCAGTGAGGTTTTACAGCAACACTGATAAACTACACTATCGACTAATATAGACACAGATAACCATTAAAAAGGGAAATCCACAGCTCGAACTTCCTCATTCACGAATAAAAACATCTCCTATTGGAGACAGAGCAGAGTAACCTTTCTCTGTTACACCTGGTTGTTATGGCAACTTTTGCATTATCTGGCTGTTATGGTTACCTGCAGGTGTGCACTACCCGGTTGTTACGGTTACCTGCAACTATGCATTACCTGGTGGTTATGGTTACCCGCAACTATGCATTACCAGGTGGTTACGGTTACCTGCAACTATGCATTACCTGGTGTTATGGTTACCTGCAACTATGCATTACCTGGTTGTTATGGTTACCTGCAACTATGCATTATCTGATTGTTATGGTTACCTGCAACTATGCATTACCTGGTGGTTATAGTTATCTACAACTATGCATTACCCGGTTTTTATGGTTACTTGCAGGTGCGCATTACCCAGTTGTCATGGTTACCTGCAGGTGTGCATTACCAGGTTGTTATGGTTATCGGCAGGTGTGAATTACCTGGTTGTTGTGGTTACCTGCAGGTGTGCACTACCAGGTTGTTATGGTTACCTGCAGGTGTGCATCATCAGGTTGTTATGGTAACCTGCAGGTATGCATTACCTGGTTGTTATGGTCACCTGCATGTATGCATTACCTGATTATTACTTTTCCTGCATCACTGGATTACCAGGCTATTACGGCTACCTTCAAGTTTGCATTACCTGGTTGTTATGGTTACATGAACCTCTGCTTTTCTGGCTGTTATGATTTCTTTCATCAATGCATCACCTGGCTGTTATGGTTACCTGTCTGGTGAGGCTTCCGCCCAAATTCATAGTTCCAGAGCCAGTCTTGGTCGTCTGCAGCCACAGCATCACAGTGGACGTGAGTTTATAGTGAGCCGTACGACCGCTGGACTTTTCCTGAGAGAGAGAGAGAGACACAGACAGAGAGAGACACAGACAGAGAAAGCAAGACAATAAATTAACAGACAGACAGACAGGTAACCAGGCAGATTACAAATAATTACAACAAAGTGAAGAAAATGCCAATCACTCACCTGCACCTCCACCACGTGGATGGAGTCCCAGCAACCTTTAATTTTTTTGGAGCCATCTCCGGCCTTCTTAATCAGGATGACTCCGGCAAAACCGTGATCCAAATCCCACAGGTACACGGACGAAACTCCGCCCTCAAAATACCTACATCACACAGGTGAGCACTTTCATTATCAAGATTTAATAAGCTGGTTCGTGCACATAAATTTATGCTCAAATTTTCAGTGACACTTTATTCTGAGATGTCATTTTTAGATGAGGATTAGGTTTTGGGTTGAGGTTAAGGTTAGGATTAAGATTAGGGCCAGGGTGAGGGTTAGGATTAGGTTTTGGGTTGAGGTTAAGGTTAGGATTAGGGCCTGGCCCAGTATTGTTAACTGGCATCTAACAAAATCATAAAAACTGGTGCAGATGTGTTAGAAATAAATTAGGCTTATTAATTAATTGACTGCTAGTCGGCACTCACAGGTCCCTGTACTGGTCGAAGGCATTGTTGGCCTCCACCTCCAGCTTCCTCAGACGAGCGGAGGGCATCGCGCCATCGTCAATGGGGGGCTCGTACTTATTACTCCACGGAGATCTAAAAAACACACACGATAGAAAGTCAGACATTATCATCAAAGAAAATATCAGCGTCCATCAACTGATAAACTAGTAAACACAATCTCAAAATTCACTTTTACAATATGGTTTCCTAATTAGGTTCAAGAATGAAAGACAGAGAAGGCTCAGGTTTGACAGATCGTAAGAAACCACTCGTGTTTATGTGGAATGTAAGTCTAGTGAACAATTTAGCCCCGGGGTCGGCAACCTGCGGCTCTTTTACTGCCCTGTTGCTCCACAGCAGAATCAGATTTGTAGGTAAAAATAAAATAATCCTCCTTTACAGTAAAATAAAGCTCTGCTGATCGTTCAACACAGCTTAACAATAAATGGTCTTAAAGTCTGGAGTTAATGTAGAACTGCTGATTCACCCTTTAACCCTGAAGATCAGCGCAGACTGCTGGTCACCATAGCAACACAGACAACAGTCTCACCTAGCTAGTAGCTAACGAAACAGCAAAGAGGGAGATTTAAGACGGACATCGATAATTTGGAGATGAATGGACTTATTAGTGTTTATAATCACTCCAGCTGGTTTCCTGATACGTTTAATCTGCAACGAGAAACTCAAACACTAAAAAGTCGAGTGGCTGTAATCAGTTTCTCATTCGCCAGCTTCTTGTTTTACTTCTTCCGTTCCACCTTAAATGGTGCAACAGCTAGCTACATAGTTAACTACATTCTGGCGCCTCAGGTATCATTTAAGGTGGAACGAGAAAATTCGAACAAGAAGCTGGTGAATGAGAAGCGACTTCAGCCTCGTAAAAAATCTCTACCTTTGCAGAAAGGTTTCCTGCTGGAGATGTGAGAAAAGCGGCTATAGCTGAGCTAAAGCTGAAAGCAGAGCAAAGTGAGTGTGTTTTTATTTATATTTTTATTTTTATCCTATACTGGTACATTAACACACATGTAAAATGAACATAAAACGTTGCGGCTCCCAAGGTGGTTTGATTTTTGCTGAAAGGACAAAAGCTCTTCTTAACATTTGGGTTGCAACTCCTGGTTTAGATGCAACACACAGACTGGACAGAAGTAAAAAGTAACAGATGCTAAATCAATAAGTGTCTGTTTTACTCAACACATTTGGTCAGCATGTGAGCAGTCATGTGACCTGAGTAACCCACATCTGGTTTGAATGATATGAAACAAGACCACTGGGCGGGGATATGAACCGTGCTAGGGCTGCTGGGTTTTAGTGAGCTTTGGTACAGGGATGTTGGGTGTAGATTTGATTTGAGACAGGGCCTCAGGCTTTGGCTTTAATTTGCGAACAGGCGTTAGGTTTGACTTTGATTTGGGAGAGGGCCATTGTGTTTGAGTGCGTTTTGGGACACAGTCACTAGGTTTTGGTGGGTTTGGGACAGGGCTACTGGGATTTGGCTTTTATTTGCAACAGGTGAGAGTGATGTAGGACAGGGCCTACTGGTTGGGTTTTTTTGCAAAAGATCCACTTTGAGTTTGATTTGGGACAGGGCCTTGAGTGCAAAGTGCAGTTCTGGGGCTGACCTGTAGGAGTCGCCATCACGGTTATAGTCACAGAGCAGGTAGTCTTTCCCCACAACCTTATCCCTGGCGATCTTCAGAGGCTGATCCACAGAGGACAGCAAATCCTCACACAGGCTGGGCACCTACACACACACACACACACACACACACACTTCATTACAGTGCACACAACAGTCTGTAACAGCCCTACAAGTAAAATGCATGTAAAGCTCTCCTAAACAGATAAATCTGCAGTATTTAACTCTAACAGAAACCTCGTTATTGGTTCTGTTGAACACCAACGCATTAATCAACAACGACCTGCAGCGTTTCAGTACTGACTCACACCGCGTCCTGAGTGTGAAATCCCCCCCGACCTCGCCGTTTCCTTTTTCAGAGCAGATTGTTTTACAGGTTAGAGTATCTGTTACAGTCGGGCTCTAAATCTCAGCTACGCTCGCAGCGTTTAAGGGAAGCAGTGACTCATAACAGCGACGCAGTGCAGGTGAGTGAAGAAACCTACATTAGTAAGAGTTAATGATCAAACCGATATCAGGAGGAGGGATCAATAGTTTGTTTATTAACCGGAGAGGAGAGTGAATCACACAAAACACACAAAATCACACACTCCGGCAAAACACTCCCTCATATAGACAACGAGAGAGAGAGAGACGGAGAGAGGGAGGAGGAGAGAGAAGGAAAAAAAACATAGTCTGATTGCAGATGAGTGAGAGAGAGAGAGAGAGAGAGAGAGAGAGAGAGAGAGAGAGAGAGAGAGAGAAAGAGAGGAAGAAAGAGAGAAGAGGGGAAGAGATAGATAGAGAGAAGAAGAAGCGTGAGAGAGGAAGAAAGAAGGTAGTAGGAAGAGAGAGAAGGAAGAGGTAGAGGGAGAGAGCAAGAATGGGAGGGGGAGAGAGAGGGAAAGAGAGAAGGAAGGAAGAACAAGAGAGAAGAAGAAAGATATATACATATGTAGGTAGAGAGAGAAAAAGGGAGGGGGGAAGAGAGAAAATGAAGGAGTGAGAGAAGAAGAGAGAGATAGAAAGAGAAAGGATGGACTAAAGCAAGAGAGAGGGAGAAAGAGAGAAGAGGGGAGGAGAGAGATCGATTTAGACTGAGAACAAGAGAGAGAACAAGAGGACTCAAGCGATAGATAGATAGAGAGAGAACAAGTGAGAGAGAGAGAGAGAGAGAGAGAGAGAGAGAGAGGGAGAACACAAGGGCTACATCTGCTCCTGTAGAGTGAGTGACAGCTATGCTAATAGTCGCTAACAATGCTGTGTGTATGAGGGTGAGAGAGAGAGAGAGAGAGAGAGAGATGGGGGGGTGTTGGGATGACAGGAAATGGATGTAAACATACAGAAAAGAAGGGGCAGCAAGAGAGAGAGAGAGAGAGAGAGAGAGAGAGAGAGAGATACACGAGATTAATGTGATTAGTTCAGCGATTCACTACAGCATTCATTAAAGGGACAGTCCAGCTAAAAATATAATTCCTCATTTTCCCCCTTTTAGCCTCAATGCAGTCGACCAATCAAGTCACTTTTGGCGTCTGAAGTTTAGCTTCTTTAGTTTTAGCACTGGAGCTACGAGGCTAATGTAGCTAACAAGTAATGCAAACTTATATGGCACCAATTAGCACAGTGCTAACTGCATGCCTTAATCATCACACACAATCCCACAGACTCTAACATATCTGCAAGATTAAACGGTTGAAATGTAAACAGAGTGGTTCAGAGTGGTTTGGTGTGAAACGCTCTGTTCTAGATAAACTTACAGAGTCAGAACTGTTCACAGTGGTGGTGATAGGAACCAGACGTCCACCTCTAAAAGCTCCCTCACAGAAAGTTCCTACATGAAATGGTTATGAATTCACTGCCTGATGACTGAGACACTGTTTTATGATAGTTTAGAGAACTTAAACTCCATTCATGGTGGAGGGATACATGCAGGGCGCTGTGAGGCAAAATAGTCCCCAAAGAAAACTTATTATTTCAGATATTAGTGTTGTAGTCATGGTGACCCCTGGTTCCTATCAGCACCACTGTAAAGACATCTGAACCATTTCACACCAAACCGCTCTGAATCTCTCTGATTACACCTCACACACTGAATTATGCAAAAATTCTGACAAACCAGTGGAACTGCCCTTCAAATAATCTCTAATAGCCTTGATTATGAGCTTTCTGACACTAATGTACATTAGCACGGCTAAAACGAAGGAATTTTGTCTGTACTTTTGTTCCATTTTTACAGAACCCAGAAACCACATAAGCAAGTCTTTCAGTTTATCTATTATCCCGAAACAGTTTAAAGCAAGTTTCTGCCTGAAGAACCACTTTAATCTAATTACACTTCAATCTAAACAGAGTGAACAGAAAAACAGACTCATCATTAGTAAAATTTTAAATAATATTCCACAATTCTTCCACTATTTTTCTACAACTTCAGTGCTATTTTTGTGAAATGTATGTTTCTAATGTAAAACACAGCATTTAAATGCTCTCATATCAGCAACACAAAACGAGACAGTGACCATCTTACAGTTAAAACCTGATAAAGAACAGAATGATTATAATTCTCTAACCAGACTGGGACTATTTTAACGCTTCCCAGCTGTTTGTATGTAGTGCACAGCGATGCTGTTGAGTGTCGTCTCTCTGTATTTTAAGAGGCCAATATCATGTAAGCGGGTGTAACTGTGTTTAAACGGGCCACATTCACACAGCGTATCCTGGTGGGAATCTGCCAAGGCGGAATGTTTGAAGTGACAGACGGCTTTGTGTCCGACTGTGACGGAGTCAGTAACTCTCCTCTGTGTGAGCAGATCCTCCTTCCCTGCATTTGTCCATTAGCGCAGCAGCTACACTCGGCTTACGTTACAGCGGATATCTTAAAGTGGGCATCAGTGTATTTTATGAATACGAGTAAACGAGCCCGGTCTCGCCCTGATACCAGTATCAGGACATGGGCACTTTAATTCTTCTCAGATGACCAAGAGCCGCAGCAAAAACATTAAACTACTTTCATAGCTCAGTCTTATGGCCTGTTTATGATTCCAGCTGACCATTTCGAACCTGAGGCTGGAGTTCTACGCTTGGAAACCGTCAGGAGGCATTTTCTGCACTTTAACTCACTTTAGAGGCAAACAATTAGCAAAATAGCGTTTTAAACTCTCTGAAAACTGAAAAAGATTTTTTTTTGTGGAAATAAGGTGGAATATTCCTTTAATGAAGCAGGGAAAAGAGGGTGGGGTCTGAATTCAGCACCAGCATGGTGAATATCTAGCAGGCACACACTGACCAGGTCAATGAGGTCACTGAGATTCTTCTCGATCTGCTGTGGAGGCAGACGCCTCATCAGGTCCAGAGCACAGTCTAACTGCTGATCATTCTGCAGAGAGAAGAGAGAGAGAGAGAGAGAGAGAGAGAGAGAGAGAGAGAGAATATTGCTGTTAATATTAATATACTTCCACAAAGCTTTGCAATAATGAGCTGAACAGAGAGAACAAAGTAAAACCCCAAACTTGCAGCACATAATTTTTATCTGAGTAGCACAAAAAAACTGAAAGGTTCATCACTTTTATATCGACACCACAGTTCGAATGAGTGAGATGGTCAAAACAGCATCAGCTGCAGTTTTAATTATCACCTATATAATCAGAAACTCTGTATTTTGGCAAGTTTTAAGCAGCAAAATTTAACCCAATAACACTCGTGAACAGCCTGCAGATGAGCTCGACCAATCAGAAGCAAGCAACCACCCACGTGCTGTGACACCACACCCACGACTAACTGGCAGTGTGGTGCATTACATTCAATGTTCAATCCTCAGGCCAGAGAAAGTGGATATGCTGATTTTGTTCAGTTCATTTTATGGAAAAATAGCTGCAATTTAAATATTCATCAGAAAAATCACAATTTGATTTTTCGCCCAAATCGCTCGGACCCAATAATATAGCAGGAGTAAAAACGTAAACACAGACGACCACCACAGGCTGGTTTCACCTGACAGAAGAGAAACTGCCTTTATACACTGAAATATCCTGAATACTGTCCCACTTTCCTCTCTGTCGAGATCCTGTCACCACACTTTATCATTACGCCGCTGCAAAAGCGTCTTAAGGGTGGATGATACGAGTAAAATATAAACAAATATAATCGTGACATTTATAATCGTGAAAGACACTTCAGAACACAGCTGGAAGGAAAATGCAAATATGGAGTTAGATGCCATTAGAAATCTGAATTCAAATGCAAAAATCTGACTTTAAATGTACTTTAAATCTATCATTACACCTGAACACTCAATTTCAATGTTTGTAAAGTCCGTTTGGAGCTGAATAAGGAAAAATGGTAAAAAAAAAAAAGCTTTAGGTTTTATTAAATCGCCGCTACTGTTTACAGACTATCTATAATTGGTCCAAATTAGACGATGCACTGATGTGGGAACTGTAAGCCACGGGATATGAATATTTATAACTGAACAGTAAAACCATCTGAGATTACAAATGCTTTAAAGTGAAAAAATCTGTTTAGTGTTTAAGCATCTATTTTATCTGCTGATACTAACGCAATTCTGAATAAAGGTGGGCAAAAAATATTATATCACAATACTTTTAAGACATTTTCACAATAGATGACATGCATCACAATATTTTGCCCTTCTGAGATTTAATAAGTTGGAACAGACAAGACAGAACCTGCAGTCTCACATATACAAAAAATAACGTGATAATACTAAATCTACAACTACAATGGTTTTTATTCGATGTTTTATAAACTGCGCTGCACTAAATCCACATTATCAAGCTTAATTAAGCTCACTTTGTAATGAAATAAATGTTTTTTAAATGGTGACGATATCCACAATATTATCGTGACATCATTTATCACAATAACAATAAAATATCATCAAATTGCCCATCTCTAATTCTGACATCAATGTGCATCACTGGTCTAAATCTAAATCTAAGGCCCAAACCCCTTTCACTCCTCGCCCCACCACTCAGCCCTAGCCCTCCGTTTTGCGCGTTCACGTCTAGGAGTAGGGTGTCCTGATTCCTGTTGAGACAGAGGGGTGGGGTGAAGTGTTGGGGCTACATGACCCTCCAAACGGAGGTTTTTCAGAGACTCCAAACAGAGAGATATGAGAAAAAAAGAAAAACCGGTAAGTTGGAGAACAAGAGACCAAAGAAACACACAAATGTGAGAATTTTCTCTGTTAAAAAATATAATCATCATTGTATTTTCTTAGTTTAATGTCGTTTCAGTGTATTGTGGTCCTTTCATTCATAACAAGCATGAAAAATCCCTACTAGCAGTAGCAGCTAATATCTCGCTAGCTAAAATTCTCATTCCACCTTAAATAGTCCAGCAGTTCTGAAGCTGAAGCGCCAGAATGTAACTGCTGCTCCATTTAAGGTGGAACAGGAAAATTCGAACCAGAATCTGGTGAATATCTGACTTCAGCTTCATATCACTGAAGAATTAGGGGTGGGTGATAATATATAATTGCCCCCCATGCAGCTTATTAGCATTACTAATAATTGTTACCATGATAAAGTAATAATAGTTATTACTATTATTATTATTAATAATAATAAATTAATAATACAGTTAATAAAATAACACTTTAATTATCATCATTATTATCATTACTGTGATAAACTGTCGAGGTACTCTTTTCTAAGAATATCATTGATATCGCCAATATTTAAAGAACGTTTCATTACAAAGTGAGCTTAATTAAGAATTAAGCCTGCTTAACTGGATTTAGTTTAGCGCAAGTTTGTAAAACACTGAATGAAAATCTGCGTAATTGTAGAATTTGTATTATTATTATTATTATAATAATGATTATAATCGCCCAGCTGTAGTGCAGCTTACAGTACAGCAGCAGAGCCAGCCATGTGATCTGACGGCCACAAGACGCTGTTCCGTTATTTAAAGCTGCATCTGCTGGCTGGGGGCTCATGGGAAATCTCTGAGGCTGAGAGAATAAGTGAAAGCGTGGGAACGCGTCTGCTTTAGAACCAGGAAGTAAAGAATCAAGACGGCCTGCAGCTGAAACCGAGCGAAGACCGGAAAGTGAAGCAGACCAAACAATAGTCCAAATACACACTCTCAAAGAGGGTTTTTTAGGAAAGACAAAGGTTCTACACAGAACCGTGAACACTCAGAGAACCATTTGCATGCTTAAATGGTTCTATGCATGGTAAAATGGATCTTCAGATTGATGGAGAATGTGTTTATGGTTCTATTCAGCTCCAAAAATGTTTTTGCTATTGTTACGATGTCAAACCTGTAACAACAGAAGAACACTTTCAAAAAACGTTCTACATAGAACCAAATACAACACACTCTCCATCAATCTGAAGAACCATTTCCCATGCAAAGAACCATTTAAGCATGCAAATGGTTCTCTGAGTGTTCGTGGCTCTGCAGGGAACCATTGTGTTTACCAAAGAGTCCATCTTTTCCAAGCGTGTCCGGTTCATCAGTGCGGCTCTCGCACCATTTACATACACACACACACAGGAACGCGCTCGTTTGCAAACCACAGACCCACAATCAAATTATTTTCAGACACTTTTCTCTCATTTTCCTATTGGAATATTATATTCTAAGTTACTATAATATTTTATTGTGTTCCTCAACTCGTGTCTGATCTGCTTTACAGTAACCACAAAGATCAGGAAGGAAAATTGAGAGAATGTTCCACAAAGAGGCTGTTAGTAAAATCGTACCTAAAGATTATTTAGAATGAGCTACAAACGCATTCATCACTGCACTTATCTCCATCGCACACTTACAGAGACGTAACTTTTCAGTTCGGTACTTAAAAACAGTGAAAACGAGTGAAAAGGTGGACGTACACGTAAAGCTACGTAAAGCCGATACAGTCCTCGCTCTCTTTGGAGCGTCTCTCATTTACCGTATTTGGGAAACTAGGCATCTGGGTGCAGCCTATCAGAGTAAAGTGGGTGGGGGAGAGGGTGGGGCTTATGCCGTAGACACACCCACACTGAAAATATGGCATTAAGGCCAAATATACAGAGATACACAGCAGAACTGGGCAATACAACACATACATACATATATGTATATGTATATGCGTTTACACATATGTGTATGTGTGTGTGTGTGTGTGTATATATATATATATATATATATGTACACACACACACAAGTCTGGTTCCATTGTCTTAAATTATGTTTACCATTTTGGTGATATGAGGTTTTTGTAAAAGCTGCAACAATTAAACGACTTTATTGACTAAAATCGATGACCAGATTAGTTGGCAACTAATTTAATAGTCGATTAGTTGATGACATCACGCGTGTTTCTCTCGCTCACCAGGAACGTTTTGTTCGCTTACTGGAGAGCTAACCAAAGCGTGATGGCAGCCTCAAGAACAAAATCCTCAAAAACGCGGGAGCTTTTCACGCTAAACTCCGAAAAAAGTTGTTCTATCTGTAAAGCCGACCTCAGTTGGGAGCACATCCTCCACACTGGAGCATCTGAAGAGAAAACATGTCGGTTGACTGGATGAAGAAGATTCGTCTCGGTAAGACAGCTGCGCTAGCGAGGTAGTTAGCTAATGCTAAGAGCCGCCCTACTTCGTATTATGAGGTGTAACATCTATTTTGAATGCATGTTCTCTGCAATCGTTATTGGAGCTGCAGAGAAGAAGCAACTATTATTCACAGCGACCCTGTTCACTTTCCGAATAACGTTTACAGTTTAAAACCCTGCACTGTCGTCTTGACGTCGGTTCGATTTTTCTGAATCGCTGCTGCGATTTAAACTGCGATTCTATTCTATAAATTGAGGTTCAGGCCTGACTAGACCAGAATATTAACCTAAACTGGCTTAAAGCTTGACCCCTTAATGTAGTGAGCCAGACTGCCAGTAAGTTGTGGTTGTGATGTCACAAAACATGGAGGTTCGGTTCCCTCTGATTGGTCTACCTTATGTAGACAGTTCTCGAATTCTTCGTTATTTGGTTACATTTACTAAAAACAGCGTTTTTGATGATGGAGGCTATAATTTTTTAAAAATTGCAGCTCTTGCGATGTGAAAATTGCTCTCCCTTAGATTGTGATTTTTTCATATAAAAGCGATTAATCTTTCAGCCCTAAGGGGAACGTTTGCAAACAGCTGCAAACAGTTTTCTATGTGAGTTTCGGGAGGTGGCTCTCCGCAAACACACAGGGAAGCTGGATGTATAAATATAGAGCTTATGGCTGGAGACAGTGGTGCTCATAGATATACCTGCCTAGATGCCGCATTGGGTCCAGCCAGGTACGTCAACAGCGCCGCCATATTGGGGAGGTCAACATCGCTACTGGACTGCATTCAGTACCATTGCAGAGCGACAGTTTAAGAAA